TACACACACACACACACACACACACCCCTACACACACACACACACACAATCTTCTGGTGTCCCCTGCAGGTTGTCTATATCTCTCTCCACACTACGCCATCACCTGTACGGCTGCATGGGATGATTGCTGTGTTCCTCCTCCTGACGAAGTGTTTATCTTACCTGTTCCTACCTGTTAATTTTTTTGTGTAACAGCTGTGTGTGTTTTAAGCTATCTAATCATGCCATCACCTTACATGCTACAGTTGATAATATCTTTACAATAGCACCTGGTTATAGTAGGCAAATTTACATACCAAATCTATGCTAGGAAGGGGGAATAGGGAGGTAATACTGAAGATAGGGGGTTTGTTATGTGTTGAAGGGTACAAGGCATTATTACGTTGAGGTATACGAATACAGTCATCAGTACTGTACCCACAAAGCAAATACAGTACTCTGCTATTACGGTCCAAGGATAACATCACCACCAACACTATCTGGCAAACAATGAAATCTGGGTACTATAAAATCTATGTCAGGAAAAGAGAGCAAGCTATATGGTGTTAAGGGATCACATGAAGATTAGACCCCCATAGTTTATATCACCTGATGATTAAACACCCTTAACACTACCTCTGGTGGGGTTAGGTTAGGTTCATTTTACACACATAAGCATCTTAACTACTGTAAGCCGTTAAAGCAAAGTACAATACCGTCACGGCATATAATAATCACCTCTACTGACAGTCGGATAATGCTGTAGAATTTTAGGTATCCACTCTATGGCGGTGTGGACTGAGATGTGGTACGGCCAGATTATAGTTAGTGAGGGGGGGAGGATGTATACGGCCAGATTATAGTTAGTGAGGGAGTGTATATACGGCCAGATTATAGTTAGTGAGGGAGTGTATATACGGCCAGATTATAGTTAGTGAGGGAGTGTATATACGGCCAGATTATAGTTAGTGAGGGAGTGTATATACGGCCAGATTATAGATAGTGAGGGAGTGTATATACGGCCAGATTATAGTTAGTGAGGGAGTGTATATACGGCCAGATTATAGTTAGTGAGGGAGTGTATATACGGCCAGATTATAGTTAGTGAGGGAGTGTATATACGGCCAGATTATAGTTAGTGAGGGAGTGTATATACGGCCAGATTATAGATAGTGAGGGAGTGTATATACGGCCAGATTAATTATAGACCCAGGCAGCCTGTGTACACTCTGAGCGCAACAAATGTGTAAATACGACACAACATACGGTACAACGACGCGATATTTACTGTACAAGTTGTAAATAAGGTGAAGCTATAAATTCGGTGAAGCTATAAATAAGGTGAAGCTATAAATACGGTGAAGCTATAAATAAGGTAGCTATGAATACGGTGAAGCTATGAATACGGTGAAGCTATAAATAAGGTGAAACTCTAAGTACGGTGAAGCTATAAATAAGGTAGCTATGAATACAGTGAAGCCATGAATAAGGTGAAGCTATAAATACGGTGAAGCTATAAATGCGGTGAAGCTATAAATAAAGTGAAGCTATAAATACGGTGAAGCTATAAATAAGGTAGCTATGAATACAGTTAAGCTATGAATAAGGTGAAGCTATAAATACGGTGAAGCTATAAATAAGGTGAAGATATAAATACGGTGATGCTATGAATACAGTAAAGCTATAAATACGGTGAAGCTATAAATAAGGTGATGCTATGAATACAGTGAAGCTATAAATACGGTGAAGCTTTAAATAAGGTGATGCTATGAATACAGTAAAGCTATAAATAAGGTGAAGCTTTAAATAAGGTGATGCTATGAATACAGTGAAGCTATGGATAAGGTGAAGCTATAAATACGGTGAAGCTTTAAATATGCAGAAACTATTAATACGGTGAAGCTATTATTACGGTGAAGTTATAAAGTGTAGCTGTAGATAAGGCGAAGCCATAAAAAAGTTGCAGCTATAAATAAGGCTAATTTATATGTACACCTGAAGCTAAACTGAAGCCATTATTATGTGAACATTGTCAGCCTGAAGTCACAGCCTGTCTCTTCATATGGCCAGACTTAATTGGCGAAAATGGCCAAGCTGCAAACGTGGTCAGGTTGTGTACATGGCCAGATTATAGATATGACCAGGCTGTAGATATGGCTAAGTTGTGGACATGACTAAGCTATGGAGTTGGTCAGGTTGTGGACATGGCCAAGCTGTACACATAGCCAAGTTGTGGACTTAGTTAGGTTGTGGATATGGCCAAGCTCTAGACATGACCAAGCTATGATATGGCCAAGCTTTGGACTCACTCAAGCTATGGACTCGGTCAAGCTATGGACTCAACCAAGCTATGGATTTGACCAAGCTATGAACTCGGCCTAACTGCGTGGACTCGACCAAGCTACGGACTTGGCCAAGCTGTGGATATGGCCAAGATGTAGACATGACGCTGTAAACATGGCCAAGCTGTAGACATGAAACTGTAAACATGGCCAAGCTGTAGACATGGCCAAGCTGTGGTCGGGCGAAGACGTGGACATCTCGTAACTGGCAGCGTCACTGTACTCAACAATCGATATGAATGAATCAGTTCCCGGAACCTCGGTGTGATGGCGGTGGCGTGGTGAGCGTCGTGACCAGGCACCAGAACGCCCTATGTCCTGCCCGGTGACCCTCACTCTGCACCGTCACTCTTGGTACACATCGCACCACCTCACCTCGACCTGCACAACACATCAAGTGTTTGTTACAGCGGGGTTGAGGAGGAGTGAGTTTTTCCCATTTCGTTTTAGTCCGGGTTTTCGGGTCCTCTGTCTCCTATTGTTGCATTAGTAAAAACTAGTGAATCGGGAAAGGCCGCGGACCGACCGTTATACACCCAAAAGAAAAGGGAATTTCGACTCTGTCCTCTCGCACATAGGGGACAGTCTCATACATCACCAGTGAAAGTATGCGACTGTGTCCCATGTCGAGGGGCTATCAGGAAAGGGAATATGAATTTGGTCCATATTGTCCGGAGAGGGAAAGGTCATTTTAACATACCGATCGCTTTGATATTTTTCTGATGGCAGGAAAAATACGTATCTAAAAATGGTACAAAACCGTGAATGCGGCAACACTGGGGTTAAAAATTTGAATGTGGCGGTGCGTGGCGGCCGCGCGACGATTGTCCCCCGGACAAAGATGGCCACAAAAGAAATGTGAAAAGTGTGCTACTGTCTCCCTCAAACCTACGATCGTTTTCCAAATAATATTCTGAAATCTTGAAGATTTAAAGCAAAAAATTAAAGACAGTTACCCAGTAAAATTGTCAACATATTTTGGTCATAATGATAGATCATAAACAATTCACTTTTGGAGAACTTCCATTGATCTGATGTGATATCAGTTGCGGATTCAGTATGTTGTCACACATGTGTGAGCGAAAGTTTATGGACTTCTATCGATATATCGAGGAACTGATCAAAGATGCCATTCAAAAGATGAAAACGAACAAAAATAGTGGATGCAGATGAAATGTGTCATTGTGTTTTGTTGAATAATATATTAGCTGACGTGTAAAACGGTGACGGGTGGCCCGACCCTGGCACGGTACTCCACCACCGTAGTAACTTCAATCTACAAAACAATACCGAAATACCAGACATTTTGAAAATACAATCTGAAAGAAGATATTTTAATGCATTTCTTAACGATAACTAAGGCGAGGTGTGGAGGTAGGCAGCCTGTGGTCGAGGGGTATGGTGGCGGGGCTGGGTGGGGCGGGGCAGGGCGAGGTGGGATAGGGCTAGGAGGATGGGGCGCCTCACCCCTCAAAATACTCTCCCGTAATAAAACCTGACGCTATCAATACCATCAGATGAACGGGAGCAGGCACGAGGGTAGAGGAGGGTGAGGGGGGTGGGGTGGGGGGGGACGCGGTGGACAATTTACAACAAGGAACACCCCTACCAGTCTTACCCCGGCCTTACCTGGACGCTGATTACATCACATCATTAGAGCAATACTGTTGTGACGCTCCACGCTGATAACATACCAGGCTGGCTGTACCCTCGGAGTGATACTAAATGACTACTTTGTCACATCTCCTCTGATTATGATTCTATGTACAGTTGCCAGCAAAAGTCCTCCCACAGCCCTGTGTAGCGGGGCTGTGGGAGGACTTTTGCTGGCAACTGTACATCAGAGGGATAGATACTGCTTTTATTGCTTCCTTTAGTACTACATCACACGAGGACCCCACAACTACAACACAACCCGATCAAGTAAGGCGCCGTAGGTTGTTGTTGTTCTTGAGGTTATGGTGTTATTACTGTTTCAACAACAATTACGGTGTTTTAGTTCGCATCTCTAAGTTAGTACACGGTCTATAAGATTAACATGTACAGTACACCAGTCATTATCGAACAAAAATGGTAGACATCTTCACCAACACCACACCAACTGTCCCTCTCCAACACCCCCTACAAACCATCTCTCACCAACACCCCCACAAACCATCTCTCATCAACACCCCCACAAACTATCTCTCATCAACACCCCCCCCCTGAGCCATCCCTCACCAACACCCCCCTAGAGCCATCTCACCAACACCCCCCCACCAAACCATCTCCTCATAACACCCCCAAACCACCTCTCACCAACACCCCACAAATAATCTCTCATCAACACCCCACCTAACCACCTCTCACCAACACCCCCACAAACCCTCACCAACACCCCCTACAAACCATCTCCTCATCAACACCCCACTAACCACCTCTCTGCTTACCCCCACTAACCACCTCTCCTGCTTACCCCCCACAAACCATCTGTCTAAACACCCCCGACCACCTCACAAAACCCCCCACAAACCATCCCTCACCAACGTCCCGCACTACAACTTCGTCAGAAATTATAAG